AAACAACCAAAACCCCCAACTCTTCCACAGCTGGCGGCCCCACTTGTGCCCCCTGCAGACTCTGTCCCTGTGTTTCTCTATCTCTGCCTCTCTCTTGCTCTTCTGTTCTCTTGCTGTTTCTTTTGTCCCTTCCCTTCCTCTGCCTCCATCCCTACACTATATTCCTCGTCTATTTCTTGGCTTCTCCCTGTCCTGCCTCTGACTCTCAGCATATCTTTTTTTGTAATCTGGTGTGTATTTCGCACTTACACAACGCCTTGATTGGGACCTTGACTTTTCTCCAGAAATACTTAATCTGTGTTTAGATTTCATGAAATTTGTAACTGAAAAACTAGGTTCACATACCCAAGTTGCTCCAAATGTACTTGTAAGTTTTCTAACCACTGAAGTGAGTATCAATTCTAACTAAAATTAAGTTTCACATTTTCTGCTAGCCATGTTTCGAGCGCTTAATAGTTGCATGTGGCAAGTGGCTACCATATTGAATGATGCAGCTCTAACCTGCCGTTGTGTCTCTCGGTAAAACTGTCCACCTCTCTCTGCCTCACTCTCCCCATTTATAAAGTGGGGATGACAACCGTACCTACCTTAAAGGGTGAGGACTGAGTGAGTTACTCTGTGTAAAGCACTTTATGGCTCTCCTTCAGTGATACCCGGGGCTCGAATGGGGCCATGGCTCAGTGCCAGATACACAGCACAGCAGGGGCCAGGACCTGGGTCAGGAAAGTCCATGGTGGCACCTCTCCCAGATCAGTGAAGTTAAGGCTCCACCCCTGAATTCAAGATATCGGGACTATCAGTCCTTTTTTCCTGGATCAGGAGAGTATGATTCAACCTCTGGGGTCATAGTCCTGCGACCTGCAAAGGGTTGGCCAACGTTGTAAGAGAGATGATGTTGCTTCATATTCCCCCACTCCCTTTTGAGGGAGAGAGACAGAGTGAGGTGGAAACCCAGGCCCAGGGCACGACGGGTGCATGTGGCACATTCCTTCACGTCCTGGACAAATCTGGACTGAGCCTGCTGGAGGCCGGGCCTGATGATGGAGACACACATGAGCGCAAGGGACATCAATCAAATTGCACCCAGTTCCTGCATTCCTGGAGCTCAGAATCTAAAGGCAGAAACAGAAACACCAAGACAGAGATAGCAAAGGATAGAGAGATAGTCACACAAGACTGTCTGAGAGGGTCAGAGAAATGTCCTGCAATGTGAAGGAAGAGCCAGAGATGGGGACAGAAGTGCCAGGCACTGCTCAGAGCAATCAGAGAGCCGGGGATGGGGAGGGAACTGAACGCCACACCCGCCAGGCCTCCGTCTCTGTCTCTCTTTCTCTCTGAGTCTCCCCATTTCTGTGCCTCTCCTTCCTCCTGTCCTCCCATCCTCTCATCAGTGGCTGTCACCAGGGGAAGGGGGTGGAATAGGGGGTTGGAGGTAGACACCAGCCACCTAAAGGTCCCACAGAGACAGGGATTGGGAGACGCACAAACACGCAGGCACACCCAGACTCACGCATGGGGTGGGGGGGGGGGGGGACTTGCGCCCAGATGCACACACATGTAAGCCCTGACACAGGCAAAAACATATATGCAACCTCATGCAGATGCATACACAGAAACACACCAGCACGTTCACGTGAATACAACAGCGCTCTGCATATAAAGTCATACCAGCACAGGCACAGACGCAAGGAGGCGTGGGACTTACGCAAGCCAGAGCACTTCAAGCCGAATGCGCATGCTCACCCATAGCCGCAAAACAAACACAGCATGTGAGCACCGGGCACATGCACTCTCGTGGGCTTTGGAATCGCTACCGCCTGGTCTCTGCCAACATGTACAGGGTTGTGTGAGCCGGAAGAATGGGACGTCCCATACTTGAAAAACACACCACCCTTTTAAGTTCACACTCTTGGACGTGATGAGAGGGGAGGCGGGGAGTGAATGCAGTTACATAACTGGGTGGGGTAGTCAGCTCAGGATAAAAGGCCCAGCTCAATCAAGGCTGAAGTTGGGACAAAGACAGTTGGGCCGGGCCATGGAGCTCAGTGTCGTTCTCCTTCTTGCTGTCCTCACGGGACTCCTGCTTCTGCTGGCCAGGGGCCACCCGAAGGCCCATGGCCACCTCCCACCAGGCCCCCGTCCTCTGGCCTTCTTGGGGAATATTCTGCAGATGGACAGAAGAGGCTTACTCAAATCCTTCCTGAGGGTGAGATGCCGATGCATGGGGTCTGAGGGTGACTCACTGCCCCTGGACCTGGGGATCACTCCCCAGAAGGAGTGAGGGCATCCTTTCAGGCTCCAGGGGTGGGGTGTATGAAGGTTGGCGAGGGAGGTGCATGGAGGTGAAGCATGGTAGCTGGTGGTCAGATGGTCAGAGGCGTCCCTGCTCAGTTCAAGTGTGTGGGCACGGGCCCCGGAGGGGGGGGGGGGGTGCCCACGCGGAGGCGTCTGGGCGCAAGCCGTGGGTATAGAATTTCATACTCTTCTGCCACCGCCTGTGGAGTCTCTGGGCGCCTGCCCGGCCCTGGAAGAGAGAGAAGGGGCAGAGTCACCAATCATAAGTTTCTCCCCTGGCAAGAAAAGAGAGCGGAGATTGGCCCAGGTAGATGCCAGGAGGAGAAGGAAGACGGGAGGAGGCACAAGGTTCTTACCAATAACGGTCACAAATGTGCAGAAATGGCTGACCCTGGAGTGTTTACCAGGCTCTGTATCACTGCTTTCTACGCATGATTTTACGTGTGGTTATCGATTTATTTATGAATAATGTAATCTACACCGGTGCACCCTCGTGGCAACAGAAGAACTGGGTCACCGACATAACTGCCAGCTTACATACCCTGAGGCCACCACACTCCTGAATCTTGGGTTTGTCATCCCTTTGCTTTTAAGAGAGAATTTTCCCACAAGTGGAGGGATGGGTATGCACAGGCCCCGAGTACTTTTTACTTCAGTGCCTCCCAAGGGCACCACGTTTTTCTATAAACTCCTAGGCTTGATTTCTTTGCTCAGAATTACATGGCTAGGATTTATCTGTATCGCTGTGGGAACTCATCAGGTCTGGCTTACCACACGCCTGCGGGCGAGGAGAGGTACTGTCCTTCCTTATCTCACAGGTATGGACCGTGAGGCTCAGCCTGGGGAGGACACTTGTCCTCAGTCACACAGCTGGGACTTCATGGAGGGAAAGCTGGGGTCTGGCACAGAGGTGTCCTCATCTCCAATGTCCTCCTGGGCCAAAGCTACCTAATGATTTGGGGATCACAAATCCTTTGAGAATTTGGTTAAGCTGTGGGCTCTCTCCCCTGCAAATGTCCACAAAGATTTTTACATACAATTTTGAGAGTTCCAGACCCCCTCAAGTTCTTCCATGGAACTTCCAGGATTCTTTAGGGGTCCATGATCCTCCATTATTATTGCATCTTTGGAGACAGGAAGGGAGAGAATGGACTAAGGGGTGTCACGATGGGACAGGTCGGAGAAGGTGGCCCCGCTCCTCCTCCATTCCCTAGTATGCTCCCAGATCTTTCTAGAGTCAGACAGATGTGGATTTTGTGTTCCAGAGTCAACTCTTACTCATTGAGTCTCAGTTTCCTCCTCTGTTAAAATGAGATGGTGGTGAGAATGTGTGTCTTATAACATTAATGAGGACTGGGTGGCATACTGCATAGAGAGCCTGGTGTATATAGTAAGTGCTCATTAAATGGCAGCTCTTTTGCTCCATTCATTCAACAGTCATTTACAGGGCACCTTCTGTGTCCTGGGAATATTCTAGGCATTGATGATGTGGCTTTGGACAAGGCATACAAGTTAAGCAAATAAGGAAATACTAGGTAGACAAGAGCTATGATTAAAAGAAAGCCAGGTGCTATTTTAGAAAGTGGTGGAGCTACTTTAGATTGAATAGTGGGGGAGAGGCTCAGTCTCGCTGTGTCTGTGAGCAGACACCCTGCAAGATGTAGGAGCAAAGCACCGTAGAGAGGCAGGTGTCAGTGCAAGAACACTGAAGCGAGAGCAAGCTCGGCATGTTTGGGGGAGAACATGGAGGCTGGATCTGAAGGAGGGAAGGTGCGAAGGGGAGGACAAGCAGAGGGGTGATGCAGCCACCTCATGCAGGGCGATGTGGATCAAGGTGGAGACCTCAGATCTTACCCTCAGCGCAGTGGGGGGCATTGGAGGGTTTGGAGCCAGTTAGGGGTATTAATTAATTTACATTTTCATAGGGAATACTCTGGCTTCAGACTGGGGTGAGGTGGGTGGCCAACTGATCGTAAGGGGAGAGGAATGGCAGTAGGGAGACCATAAGGAGGCTCTGCAGAGATCAGTGGGAGAGATTTTGCAGTAAACTTAACCTTTTCATGATTTTAAGTCAATTTTTAGTGAGGCTTAACATGACCCCTAAAAGTGAACAAGTCGTAAACGTTCAGCTCAATGAATTCTCTCAAGGGGACATACTCATGTAATTGACATATAGGTAACTAACGACACCCTGTCCCCAGAAGCCACCCTCCAGTCCCCTTCCAGTCACCACCCTCTCACTATCTTGACTTCATAGAAATAGAGTTAGGACATATGGACACTTTTGTGTCTGGTTGATTTGGCTCAACACTACGCCTGTGAGTTTCATTCAAGTCTTGGCTGTAGCGTGGGTTCTTTTTCATTGCTGCATAATTATTCCATGGCATGACTATATCGCCATATATTTATTCTCTATCAGCGTTGCTGAGAATTTTATTTGAAAAACTTCAATGGGCGCCTGGGTGGCTCAGTCTGTTAGGCTTCCGACTTCGCCTCAGGTCATGATCTCGTGGTTTTTGAATTCAAGCCCTGCATCGGGCTCTGTGCTGACTGCTCAGAGCCTGAAGCCTGCTTCGGATTGTGTGGCTCCTTCTCTCTCTGCTCCTCCCCTCTTCACACTCTGTCTCTCTCTCAAAAATACATAAATGAAAGTTTTTTAAAAATCTTCAGCGAATCAGGTTGTTGGTATTTTGGTGAACCGACGTACACATTTTGGTTGGGCGTGCATCTGGGAGTGAAGTTAATGAGTCATTGAATGTGCATGTGTTTAGCTTCAGTAAATACCATGGAGCAGTTCTGCAAATCCCTGTACTGATGTTATGTCACGAGCATCCCCAAAGCTGTCCTTTTCTCTTCATGTCTACCAAGCGGTTTAGGGTAGTTCTCTGGGGAAATTGTCAGGAGAAAGACAGCAGGTTGACGTTGGGTCACAGGAAGGATGACCCTTCAGTTTCAATGCTGGGGAGATCTGGTTCGACTCAAGGGTATAGGCAGAAGTAAGAGATATTTAACCATCTGTACTGCTTAGGGCACCAACCATGCAGACTCTGGCTGGGTCATGGGTTAATCCTTTAGTTGCTGGGTCCCGGGAAGGGGAGGGCACCCTGGGGTGGAGGCTCTTGGGGTACTCAGTAGCTAATTGCCAATCTATACATGAGTGTTTTTATGGTTTAACAACTGGGATGGCCACATGGGTGCACATTGGCTAACAGTAACCTTGGGCGTGGATATGCTTCACAGCTCCGAGAGAAATACGGGGATGTCTTCACGGTGTACCTGGGTCCAAGGCCTGTGGTCATGCTGTGTGGGATAGAGGCCATACGGGAGGCCCTGGTGGACCAAGCTGAGGCCTTCTCTGGCCGGGGGAGAGTCTCTACTGTAGAACGAATCTTCCAAGGCTATGGTAAGGACCTCAAAGGCACCTGGAGGGGAATGATGGAAGATGGAAATTGGGGAGGGTGAGTCTTGGAAGGGGGGATAAGAGGCACAGAGGGGCCCGGAGTCCCTTCCAACCCTCTTGGCAATCCATGCCTTCCCTACACCCGCAGGTGTGATCTTTGCCAACGGGGAACGCTGGAAGCTCCTTCGGCGATTCTCTCTGGCCACCATGAAGAACTTCGGGATGGGGAAGCGGAGTATAGAGGAGCGGATTCAGGAGGAGTGTCAGTGTGTGGTAGAGGAACTGCGGAAAACCCAGGGTGAGTCCCCGGAGAATGGGTATGCAGGGTGCGTGGCAACAGAAAGACTGAGGTGTATCCGTGGGCAGAGAAAGAGAGGCAGAGATAGAGAACGACCCTGAGAGACCATCCAACAGAGGGACAGACAGAGATGGGTAGGAATGGAACACAGGGAGCCAGAAGAGATATGGGGTGTATAGTGTCGAGAGTAACTCAAGGACATAAACTTGGTTATGTATTAGCACGCTATTTACTTGGGTTCAGGGAAACCAACCCATGGATGACTTGTATCTGCAAGGGCAAAAATAAGACTTACATTAAAGCAGGCAAAGAGAGAAAGGGAAAAAGGATAGACACTTTGAAAATGACAAAGTGGGTTTTCATTCTTCTTGGTGAACTATTGACAAGCTGTCAGCGAGCAAGATGGGCAGCTGGGGCGTCCTGCCCTCAGGCAGCTGGGATGGGCTGTCAAAGAAGCACTTCTGAGGGGGGCCTGGGTGGCTCAGCCAGTGAAGCATCTGACTCTTGATTTCGGCTCAGGTCATGATCTTACGGTTTGTGAGTTCGAGCCCTGCGTCCGGCTCTGCGCTGACAGCCCAGATTCTCTCTCTTTCCCCCTCTCTCTTTGCCTCTACCCCACTCATTCTCTCTCTTTCTCTCTCAAAATAAATAGACTTAAAAAAAAAGAAAAGCAGTTCTACTTACTTTTGGATTCTCCATATAAGGGTGTTTATGAGACATAAAGATGACAGGGTCCTTTCGTAAGAGATTTCGAGAGGTAAATGTACAGGCTGGGAGGGAGAGGCAGAGGCCGAGACATAGGGAGCAATAGAGGACTAGGGGCAGCAGACCATGAAGACAGACTCAGATGGAAAAAGAGCGACTCCGATGGAGAGAGATACGGAAGGGAAAAGAGACACAGATGGAGAAATGAAGACAAAGAGACTGGAAGAGACCGGGAGAAGCAAAAAGAAACCAAGGCAGAGAGAAACCAAGGTAGAGAAAATGAGACTGACAGACAAGCTCAGGAAAGGGTGTGCAGGGGAGCAAGAGAAGACGGACAGGTGAGACCCGCAGAGAGAGGCTGATGCCATGACACTTCCGGGTGGGTGCACAGTCCATGCCCCCCTCCCATCCAGGGAGGTCAGGATGTATACAGACATCAACCGTCAAGTGCAGAACGATTCCCTGGGGACCAAAGAGCCCTGGAGGTGGAGAGAAGAGATGAAGGGAGGGGATGGCAGACAAGGGACAGGGAGAGCAGAGCTTTTAACCTTGCACATGTGATTGACTGAACACCTGCCCTGCACCCATCTGCCCCTGGGACTTAACTACCTGCCCCCAGGGTCAGAGCTGAGGCCTGAGAGGGACCCACCACACAGCCTCCATAGCCCGACGACCCTGCAGACAATAACAGAACGGCACTTTCCCCCCAGGGTTGTGGTGGGAATTTAGTAAAATAATACATGAAGTGCTGAGAACAGGACCTGGCTGGCCCATCATCTGGGCTGGTGAATGTTAGCGGTTCCTGTTCCTGCTTCTTTGTCATCACTGAGGGAGGGAGGGCAGTCACATGGAGATGGGGCAGTGGTCAAGTGCTCCCAAGGCCTTTGTGTGAGTCCGTGTCCCATGACCTGTGCCTCCTCCTCCTAGGAGCCTTCCAGAACCCCACCTTCCTTTTCCACTCCATGACTGCCAACATCATCTGCTCCATTGTCTTTGGAACACGCTTTAGCTACAAAGATCCCAAGTTCCTGCGGTTGCTGGACTTGTTCTACCAGACCTTCACGCTCCTCAGCTCCTTCTCCAGCCAGGTCAGGGAGCTGGTGTGGGAGGCTGGTGTGTGAGGTGGATATCTAGGGCACAGGGAAAGGGGTGATCTGCTTTGGTGTCCCAGAAATGCAGCTTTGGGCTGGAAGGGGGGCACAGACAGCAGGGAGGGACAGGGACACTGAGCAGTAGAGGGCGGGAGGGACGGGAGACAGGGATGGGGAGCCTAGGATGAGGAGGCAGAGATGGAGAGTCAGAGAGTCAGCAAGAGAGACCAAGACATGAGGGTTTGGAAGAGGAGAGGGAAGGACAGGGCGAAAGTGACGACGAAGAGCAGAGATCAGAGATTCTGAGAGGCAGAGTGGAGGAGACAGAGGGAGAGAATAGGACTCAGACTGTCAGGCTCTCTAGTCTTCTGTTCCTGATTGCTGCAAATCTTCACCTCTGTCTTTGGCAAATCTCCTCAATTGAAGAAATTCAAGGATACGTGAAAATAAGGGACCACATTTCTTCATTTTCCCCATTTCCCTGCCCACATTTGGTCTTTTTAAAAATATCTCCCAGATTATAAAGTAATATGCTCCTCTTTTAAAACAAAATAGTGTGGTTTCTCTTTCTCAATGAATCTGGAAATACCACGATTATACATTAAGTTTAAAAAATTAAACTGCAGAACAGTATGCCTCATTATGGTTCGTACCCAGGAGTGTATGTCAGATTTGTGTGTAGGACTGTTCCAAATGGTTAGTCACAAACTCCCATGACCTCCTGCTAGACAGTCTGATCCAAAAACCTAGGATGGGGCCCAGAGTGAATATTTGCAACAGGTGCAGCAGGTGATTTCACTTTTCTCCTCCCACAGAGAACCACAGAGAGAAAAAAGTCTAGCGTGAAATTCACCAGAGAGATATCAATGGTTATCTCTAAAAATTAAGAAAGAATTTTACATTGCACTCTCTGTTTCCACCTTTTTTTTTTTTTGCAATTATTTGCAACAGTTAGGTATTACATTAATTCTCAGACAATATGGTAGAAATATGTTCCAAAATAAATAGTCCTAAGCAGGCAGTAGGCTCATCTTGTGTATGCATCACGTTATCAATGTTTGGTGCAGCCAAGGAGATGTGAGGGGTGGAAAGAGTCAGAGAGGTCCGAGCCAAACAGATCCACTGGGCGAAGTAGGCAATAGAAGCACAGAGAGCCAACCACCTGGCTGACTCAGTCAGTAGACCAGGCGACTCCTGATCTAGGGTCGTGAGTTCGAGCTCCACACTGGGTGTAGAGATGATTTAAAAGAAAAAAGTAGCTGCAGAGAGACAAGTGAGAAGAGACACACATGGGTAAGGAGAGGCGCCAAGGAGAGAGGTGTGGCAGCAACCAAAACTGGACGGGAGGATGAGGGAGGGAGAGACAGAAGGAGAAAAATGGGAGAATTAACAGATCAAAGGAGACTTAGAATCAGTGAGTGAGAGGCAGAGACAGAAACAGAGAGGCAGAGCAAGATGAGATTCTGCCCTACCCAGGCCCCAGGAGGGCTCCCCTCCCTGTGACTCACTGGCTCCGCCCCAGGAGGACCTCACAGCCCCTTCTCTGCTGCAGGTGTTCGAGCTTTTCTACAACTTCTTGAAGTACTTTCCAGGTACACACAAGCAAATCTACAAAAACGTGCAGGAAATCATAGCCTTCATTGAGGACGCTGTGGAGAAGCACCGTGAAACCCTGGACCCGAGCACCCCCCCGGGACTTCATCGATGCCTACCTGATCCGCATGGACAAAGTGGGGGTTGGGGGAAGGGAACAGGAGGGGGCAGGGAGGGAGGAAAAGATGGCCGCGAAGAGAAGAAGGGTGGGGAAAGGGGGAAGGGAGTGGGGAAGAGGGGAGGGAGATTGGGAAAGGGAGGAGAGACTCAGGAACCAACTGAGGGGAAGAGGAAAAAAGGGGAAAGTTGGGAGGAGAGAGGGAGAGAGAGCCAGGTGGTGTGAGACCCAGCAGCAGGGGAGGGCGCCCCCAGGCAAGAGCGTGCAGCAAAGCCCCCGCTCCCCTGACACGCCCCCTACCGCTCGGATTCAGGAGAAGTCCGACCCCAACAGCGAATTCCACCATCGGAACCTCGTCTGCACGCTGCTCTCCCTCTTCTTCGCCGGCACGGAGACCACCAGCAGCACGCTCCGCTACGGTTTCCAGCTCATGCTCAAGTACCCTCACGTCACAGGTGGGTGGGCGGGGACAACCGATCGAGGCAGGGGGCAGGGGCTTCTCACCCCTTTGGGAGCTGCAAAAGTGCAGCTGGGATCCTTCCTGAATGAGGGAGGAAGCGTTCACCTCCTATATATACCAGGAGCGCTGCAGGTTTTGAATGAGCCCCTGACTAAGGCAGCCCCGCCGGTGGATGGATGAACAATCCGTCGGTGTGTTCTCCCATCATGTAAAGGCAGACTCCTCTCTCTGCCCACCCATCCATCCATTTGTCTATCCTTTTATTTGTTACCTGTATTTATTACCTGTATACTCAGATTCTTTCACCTATGATTGATTCAAGGACCTAGGCTTCCATTATTTACTTGGATTAATTGATTCAATTGTTGATCTTTTGAAACAGGGATTCATGAATGAAGTACTTGTCATTGATTCATTGGCACGTTTGTCCATGCATGCATCCATCTGCCCTATGAACTAGATTTCATTCCTTAATTCTTCCATCGGTCTTTCAATCCACCCTTCATCCATTTATTATGCATTTAGTTCAATTAATTCATCACTGATTATTTATCTGTCATTCAATCCCTCCATCTATTTGTTCCTTTTTTTTTTTTTTTCAACGTTTATTTATTTTTGGGACAGAGAGAGACAGAGCATGAACGGGGGGCGGGGGCAGAGAGAGAGGGAGACACAGAATCGGAAACAGGCTCCAGGCTCTGAGCCATCAGCCCAGAGCCCGACGCGGGGCTCGAACTCACGGACCGTGAGATCGTGACCTGGCTGAAGTCGGACGCTTAACCGACTGCGCCACCCAGGCGCCCTGTTCCTTTTTTATACCTATTTTATTTTACCTATTTTTATACCTATTTCATCACTTTTTGATACCTGTTATTTCACTAATTTATTTATTTATTTATTGCTCTATAGATCTAGCCATCCATTCATTTATGCAATTGATTTACTGGTTAATCAGGTTCACTTATTTGTCTATGGGCCATTTATTAATTAATGACCCAATAATTCATATATTGATGATAAACAAATACATACATCCATTCACTAATGTTCTTTCATTCATCACTCTTTCCATTCATAAGTCGACTGGCTTATGTACTCATTTATCCAGGTGTTTGTGGGTTAATGTATTGATCTATTTCATGGTTATATTCCTGACACCTAGCACAGTGTCTCATCTATAATACACACACAATAAATATTAGGTCATTTTCTACTCTTTTTGTTTTTAAAAAAATTTCAATGTTTATTTTTGAGAGAGGGAGAGAGGGGAGAGGGTGAATGGGGGAGGAGCTGAGACCGAGGGGACAAAAAATCCAAAGCAGGTTCTGTAATGACTGATGTGGAGCTCAAAGTCATGAACCTTGAGATCAGGACCTTAGCTGAGGTCAGACATTTAACCGCTTAATTGACTGAGCCGCCCAGGCTCCTCTCCAGTCTTTTTAGAGGGAAAATTTTGACAGGTTTATAGCCTTGAGTTCTTATGTGAAATTCTGTGCAAAATTGTGGTGTGTGCATGTGCGCATGCACACACGCACGTGAGTGTGTGTGTGTGTGTGTGTGTGTGTGTGTGTTTACCTGTGCCTGTGGGAAGATAATTCATAAGATTCAATAGATTTGAAAGGGTGAGAATTCTTGCTTCCCACCGCCCCCCCTCCCCGCCTCCCCCTCCTCCAGGCTTGTTGCTCTTAGGGGTGTCGATGACCTAACCCTTTATTACAGGTTTTTCCTGGCTCATTAGCCCACACAAAGCAGTGTCCCTGCTGAAATGTCTCTTTAAAATGAGGTTCCCTCAAACTGAGGGTTGATGGGGGGTGGGAGGGCAGGGAGGGTGGGTGATGGTTACTGAGGAGGGCACCGTTTGGGATGAGCACTGGGTGTTGTATGGAAACCAATTTGACAATAAATTTCATATATTGGAAAAAATAAAACAAAATGAGGTTCCCTGGTCCCACTCTTCTGTTCAGAGAGAGTCCACAAGGAGATTGACCAGGTGATTGGCCCACACCGCCTTCCATCCCTTGATGACCGAGCCAAAATGTCATACACTAATGCAGTCATCCATGAGATTCAGAGATTCAGTGACCTCTTCCCTATTGGCGCGCCGCACATGGTCACCAAAGACACTCACTTCAGAGGGTACTTCATGCCCAAGGTGAGGCCAGCTGGGCTCCCACATTTTTCCCGTGTGGGCATCCTGGGTTCTCTTAATCTCTGCACTTGACCTGTTTTTGGTTTTATCACTAGGGCCCTCTTGGTTTTTTGTTTGTCTGTTTGTTTGGTTTTGTTTTGTTTTTCAGGGTGGGCTGAGGAAAGGAATGGCAGTATCTGTTGACCTTGTGACTCTCCCTCAGGGCACTGAAGTATATCCCCTCCTGCACTCTGCTCTCAATGACCCACATTACTTTGAAAAACCAGATGCCTTCAACCCTGACCACTTTCTGGATGCCAATGGGGCACTGAAGAAGACTGAAGCCTTTATCCCCTTCTCCATGGGTAAGCCAGGCCTGCACTCTCTTTCCCAGACACCAGAGTGATAGGCCACTCTCTCTTTGAGACAGTCCAGGAGAGATCTTGGTTCATTGAGCAGCTACTATATGTCAGTTGCTTTACCTTTAACCCACTTCATCTTCCCTGCAGCCCTAGACAGGGCTTAAGAAGACCACATCCCAAAGGCACATCTTGGTAAGCTGGACCTTGGGAAAGTATTTTAACCTCTCTACGTCTTGGTATAGAGATACACGTTGGTATAAAATAGCTGATGAGCACTACTCTGAGCGTAGTGCTTTATTGGGGGCTGAAGATGATGCACTGGGCAAGTCACATAGAGACACATTCCCTGCCCTGGGAAACTTACAGCCCAGCAGGGGAGATGGGCATTTATCATTTGACCACAAAATAGTACCTAATTAAACTTAATTAATGCTTGCAATGTGCTTAGAACTGCTTGGCACAAAGTCGGTGCTCATGGATGTGATGATGATTATTATCATTAATCATAACTGTGATAAATGCTCTGAAAGGGACTTTGGGAACACAAAGAGGAAATACTGACTACTCTTGGTGGTCCGGTGAGGAAAAGCTTTCCTCGAAGCACTGGCTTCTAAGCTAAGACCTCAGGGGTGACTATCAATCAGCCACTAGGAAGAGTGTTCCAGGCAGAGGGAACAGCAAGTCAAAGCCTGAAGGTGGAGACAGCATGGAGTATTTGAGAAAGGAGACAAACCCAGGGATCCTGGAGTGTGGATTCTCAAAGGGGAGAAGGGTGAAGATCTCAGCTGGAGGGCCTTGGAAGCTGGGGGGCGTTTGGGCTTGACATGCCCTGACCTGTCTCTTTCCCCGTTCTCCACTATGTGGCCCCGTCTTGAGAAAACCCCAATGCCCAGAATCCTCATCCTTTGGGAGAAAGGAGGGCCCCCGAACCAAGGCCCTAGTCTTGAGTTCCATCAGTGACCCCAGTGACCCAGATCCCCTGGCTCTGCCCAGTGCTACGGCTTCCCCCATTTCATCCTAAGTGAGAGTTGGGCGACTTGTGGGATGGTGGGGTGGGGCCCATGATCCCATCCACTAGTCCTGTTCTAAGGTGAGAGAGAGAGGCAGAGATGTAGAGAGGGAAGGAGAGAGAGAGACAAAGGAAGAATGAGTGAGAACAATGGAGAGAAAGACAAAGAGAGACACAGAGAGAGACAGTGACAGGGGACAAGTGCCAGAGACTGAGTGCACAATGAGACAATACAGTGAGGAAGGGGAAATAGGAGAGAATAGGAGACAGAGAGAGAGGGGGAGGGAGAGAGTTTCAGATGGAATCAGATCCAAATGGACAGAGACAGGGAGCTTAAGATTGAAGAAAGTGGGCAAAAGAGGAAGGAGACAGAGGAGCAATGTCTGATGGGAGGTCAATCAGAGCAAAAGACTGATGCAGGATTGCCATGAGTGGAAAGAACGACAAACCAAGCCAAAAAGATGTTAGAGCCAACGGGATAGTGAAGGGTGTCCCAGTGGACAGTCCCAGGGATTGGGATTGGAAGAGAGGATGGGAGGGAGGCAGTAGGAGCCAGGCTGTTCTGGAAAGAACTGGGTCACAGAACCAGTCCCAGGAGAACTAGTCTAGAGCCCTGCTCTGAGTATCTCTAAGTCCCTGTTACCTAACTTCTGATGTGCCAAAAAGATACAGACATTTCCCCCAGAGCCGTCCACATAGGCATAATGTCTGACACCTTGACTGGTCTAGGAAATATCTGAATGGCCTTGCCATGGTGGCCAGCTTGCAGATCAAGAGCCATTGAGGTGGGGTGCCTGGGTGGCTCAGTCAGTTAAACGTGGGGCTTTAGCTCAGGTCATGAGCCACCCTTGGTGAGGTCGAGCCCTGTGTCAGGCTCTGTGCTCAGAGCCGAGAGCCTGCTTCAGATTCTGTCTCCCTCTCTCTCTGCCCCACCCCCTGCTCCCACTCTGTGTATTTGAGAGCGCTCTCTCAAAACTTAGTAAACATTAAAAAAGAAAGAGCCACTGAGGTAAAGGAGGCTTTCGGTGCCTCTTCCTGGGGTTCCTACTCCCTTTGTGTTATTTCTCTTCAAGCCCATGCTTCATAACCTACTGGAGGCTCTCACACCTCTGGGAATCCAAGGAAGCAGACCCATTCACAATTCTTTTTATTTATTTATTCATTTTAATAGCACGTGAGCATGGGCTCCTGAGCAGGGTAGGGGCCGAGAGAGAGGGAGAGAGAAAATCCAAAGCAGGCTCCGTACTATTCACGCAGAGATCAAGACCTGGGAGCCAAAATCAAGAGTCAGATACTCAAGCAACTGAGCCACCCAGGTGCCCCGCCCCATTCACAATTTTAAGTGTAGTTTGGTTTCCCCCCCAAACTTTTGAAGCCCATGGCTCTCGGACTGAGATAAAAAGACAACCCAGATACAGAAAAACACACACTGTGCCAGATACACCCTC